CACAGCAGTGTTTAGTGGAGAGCAGACATCACCATGGTGTAGGGGCCCGGGAATGTTGGTCATCATACATTGAGGCATGTGACTTCACCTTATCCTACCCAATGTCTCCTGAGCCCAGTCCTGGGCCTGCACTTCCACAGCTGGAGACTGTGGAAAGGAGGACCCCATGCTTTAGCGTGGAGTCGGGGAAAAGGGGCGCCAGAGGCCAAGAAGCATCAGTTTGTCCAGTGACCTTCTGTTGATATTCTGCGAATGAGAGAACAGGAAGCCTGCTTGTCACTTGGGGAGGGGGCAGGGGGACGGTTAGCAACAAGTGGGCTGGGCCTCAGTATCACTCTAGAGTCCCACCCCAAGACATTCTGATGCAGGAAGCTGGGGTGGGGCTCTGAAACCTATAGTTATCCCCGGATATTGCATTAGTGAAAGACTTGTGCCGTGAACACGTCTGTGCCCACCATACAGATTCCACAGTGAACATTTCCTCTGCCTGCCTTAGCACAGATCTCATCGCCTGTCCCTCCCTCTGTCCACCCATCAATCCACTTACTTTATGTTGCATTTCAAAGTAAGTTGCCCTGTTGTACACTGCATACTTGAGCAGGCATTTCGTTAACTAAAGCTTAAGGTTTGCTTTGTTCATAAAACTTGTATTTAAAAAAAAAGGTTCCCCAGGGAATTCTTTCCTGGTGACAATCCAGTATAGTGAGCAAGAGCCAGAGTCTGTTGGTTGACTTTAGGTGAAGACCCCCTCCCCCAGCTGGGGGCCTGGTTATTGAAAGACACTTGGGCCCTTTGTTCAAGGTGGGGATTGGTCCCTGGCCTACTTCTTACCAGCTGTGTGGTCTTGAGCAGGTCGCATAACCTGTCCAAGTCTCAATTTCCTCATCTCTAAAATGGGTTTAAGGAAAGCACCTGCTTCTTAGGGTTGTTGTGAGGAATAACTGAGTCTCTGCACATGAAGTGTCTGGACTGGCGCTTGGCATATAGTAAGAGCTCAGCTAATGACAGCTATTGCTATTTAGAAGGTGTCACTGTGTGTATACCCTTCCAGAACAAACCCCTTTTCTTGAGACAATAGGGTTTGGTCTTTGTTCCTGGCAACCAGAGCATTTTTGGCACGACCTGCCCGGGGAACTGGTGAATGGGCAGATTGCGTGTGAAGCCAAGGCCCATAATCCCTCTGGCCTTACCTCTGTCCCCATTGGAGCAGGTGGCAGGAAACCCCCTCCCAAGGGCCTTTGATCTGCCTCAGAAGGTGGGGCCCAGGAAGCCTGCACAAGGGGTTGTTTCAGGCCTGGGGGTGAGGGTAGGGGATTGAGGGGGCGAGAGGGGGATAATCCTCAGTTGGGAGGGGGAGGCTCACCAAGTGTGTGTTGACAGATCCTAGTTGTCTGCTCATGACAGTAATTTAAGATGCTGATTCTGTAACTCCTGGAGCTGGTGAAATGCTATAGCTCCCTGAAGATTTTGCAGGAGGTTCCAAGGAGCTCTGTATTAGTTAGCACACAAGCCATGCTGGTGTCAAGAGAAGAACCCACATTCTCTCTTTTTTTTTTTTTTTTCCTTTTTGTCTTTTTTCGTGACCGGTAACGGGATCGCAACCCTCAGTGTCGCGCCCGTACCACGACCCACAACGGGATCGCAACCCTCAGTGTCGCGCCCGCACCGCACTCAACCAGTGAGCGGACCGGTCTCTCTATGGGATCCGAACCCTCGGCGGGAGCGCCACCACGCTCTCAAGCACCGCACTCTACCGAGTGCACCACCAGGCCAGCCCTGAAGAACTCACATTCTAAAGACAGAGTTTGCAGACTGGCTGCCCACAGGCAGAGTCAGCCCACAGATGACTTTCAGGGCACATGGTCTATTTTTTGTTTGTTTGTTTGTTTTATAGTTGCATTCATTGCTAACATTTTTTTTTTAAACATGGAGATTTATGTCTTGATAAATCAGATCTTTGAACAGTGGGCCCATGTTCCCATGTGGCAACCACTTGCTGAGTGTGATTGGCTGCTTTAGCCAGGACATTGGAAGGACAGTTTGTCACTGCTACACCAAAGTTACCTTCCGGGCTGCTGGTGGTTTCTGAGTTTGAAACCTCTGGCCTTGCTGGTAAGATTGACACAGACTCAAGTATATGTGGTTCTAGATAGAGAGCAGTGAGTATTGTAGCTGATGGCAGCAGTTCTCAACAGGGGTGATTCATCCCCCCAGGGGACATTGGCAATGTCTGAAGACATTTTTTGGTTGTCACAACTTGAAGGGTGGTGCCCGTGGCATCTAGTGGGTGGGGGCAGGGAAATTGTTCAACATCCTTCAATGCACATAGGATAGCCCCTTACAACAAAGGATTATCCAGCCTGCTATGGGTCAAAAATGTTCCCCTAAAGTTCATGTATTAGAAATTTGACCTCTGTTGTAACAGTGTTAAGAGGGTGGGAAACCAGTTATGGTACTTGAAAGGTAGGGCCTGCGAGAGGTGATTGGATCATAAGGACTGTGCCCTCCTGAATGGGGTGGTTCTGACGGCTTTATAAGGAGAGCAGTGAGAAGGTTAGCTTTCTTGATCATGGCATTCCTCACCATGTGACACCCTGCATTGCCACCCAGAAGGCCCTCACCAGATGTGCCCCCTGGATCGTGGACTTCCCAATCTCCAAAATTGTAAGAAATAAATTTTCTTTCTTTATAAATTACACAGTTTCAGGTATTTTGTTATAAGCAACAGAAAACAGACTAATACAGAGCCCACAATGTCAATAGGGCTGAGGTAGAGAAACCCTGGATTTGGGGCATCAGCAAACTAGTCTGGAAGGGAGGGGTTAATTCCAGCTGTGGGGCTTAAGAACAGCTCCCTGCAAAGAGGTCTTAGTGGTGGGCAGGCACTTGATGACTGAGCTAGGTTTCCACTGAGAGAGATCGGGGGAGGCCTGTCAGGCAGAGAATAGCATGAGCAAAGGTCCGGGGGCATCTTTGGCAGGAGGAGGTAGGTGATCATGTGGACAGTGGGATGGAGCCTGGGGATCAAGGAGCATGATGTTTCATGAAGACATGATAAATGTCTCCAGACACTGGGTTTAGGTTCTGGCTCTACCACTTATGAGCCATGTGGCCTCAGGCTTATCATTGGCCTGAATCTCAGTTTTATCATCTGTAAGATGGGGATAAGAAATGAGGTTATGTAGGCACAGCCACACCTATCCCCACTCCTCCTCCATTTCCACCCCGTGTCTCAGCCATTCTAAAACACTGGCAGTTTGCTACATGCTTCCTGCTTTCTCTGCCCTCTCAGGGCCCTCCATGTGCAGTTCTCTCTGCCTGCAATGCTCATGTTACTGGTGTGTGGATTACACCATCAGGAGGATATCAACCTAGTGCTGATATGCTCAGACTTGTGTTTTGGGAAGATCACTCTGCCAGCAACATGATGTGGGGCTGGAGGGCAGGGTAATCTGGAGGCCAAGAGAATGTTGGGGAATTCCCAGGCTCAGACAAGAGACCTGGGAGCCTCTGCCTTCACCCCAACTCCCTTCCCCATCACCTCTCTGGCTTTTGGGTGCCTTCGGGAAGGCCAGTGGGGACCCATCAGGCACGAAGGGGTTGCATTCTCTCTTGCTTAATGTTCTTGCTCCCTTCTCAGCCAGGAGCCTGGTTACTCTACAGCTCAGGGTTGAGGGGTAGAGGCTAAGACCCCCTAAATGCTACTGCTAGAGAGGCCTTGGGAAAACTGCCTAGCTTCCATGAGCCTCAGTTTCCTCACCTGTGTAGAACAGAGTCTTTACAGGGTCTGGGGGACAGATGGGATACTCCTTACAAAGTTCTTAGGACAGGATCTGGCTCAATATGTCTTAACTCCTTTATAAAAACTAAGCTCTCCCTGAATACTCTCTGAATGTCTGGTATTGCAAGAGGCCCTGGGAGTACAAAGTCTCTTAAAAACTGGTCTTGACTCTAAGGGTTGCCTGATTTAGAATTTGCAGATTTTGCTAATTGAGAACATCCAAGTTTTAGGGAGCAGTTTCTAGGAATCTTATCGGAAAGATGTACATGAACATTTAGCTTTAAGTAGATCCACAGTGGCGGTATTTATAAAGTGAAAAACTGGAAATAGCCTTAATGTCCAAATCTAAGATATTGGCTAAATATGTGAAGAAACAAATAGAATATTATGCAGTCATTCAAGGGGAAGTGGATGGATGTTTGTTGATATGGGAAGATGTCATTATTAAGTAAAAACAACATACACAAAAATCAAAAAACTAAAAAAAATACAAAACAATATTTGTATATATCAAAAATACATACACATATATATTAAAAGCCAGAAGCTAATACAATCAAAAGTTAATGGTGGATATCTCTGAACTTTTTACAATTATTTTTTCTTATTCTAGATTTTCCCTTTCTACATTTTCTACGATGAATGTGCATTTCTTTAGTGGAAAAAATATAGTAATATATTTTCTTAACTTTTAAATTGTTTTATAATGTTATTAAAATATAATGTAAATAAAGACAATAAAAAAAAAAAGGGCTACTTTACCAGCAGCTGTCCCCGTTCCTTTTCCCAGCCTTATCTCATGACTCTATTCTTAACCACTCGCTGTAAACACGGGCTCTTCATTTCAGTATTTACTAGTATTTACTAACCTGAGAGTATTGCATTATGCAAGGCGATATAAAGATGAATAATCACATTCTCCAGGTGGTTTGCTTGCGCGCCAAATTTTGAGATGCGTTGAAAGGGGGAGCTCTTTACCTCCCTGCCTTTACTTATTCACTCATTTAATTCACTTCATCCATTCATTCCTAGTTTGGGGGGCGTTTATTTACTTTACGTACGCATGCGCACTGCTGGAAACTAGAGGGTCGCTCGTCCCGGCGGCCCCGCCTCCCGGCGCCGACCATTGGCCGGTTCTGACGGCGCGCTCCTCATTGGTGGTCGCGGGCCGGGTCTCGCTGCCTATCAAAGTTGGCGGGAAAAGCGGCGGCGGGACAGCATGGCGGCGTCCGCGGGTTCCTCTTCTGCTGGCGGTTCGGCGGCGGTGCGGATGCCGCGGTCGCCGCCGCTCAAGGTGCTGGCGGAGCAGCTGCGGCGCGACGTGGAGGGCGTCCCGGGCGCGTGGCGGCTGTCA